TGCAGGGAGAAAGGAGACACCTCTCGAGAGGCCGCTTAGGAGGGACTTTCCAGTTTAGCCCAACATTTCCCCAGTTGTGTTATCTATGCTTTTACTTGGTTATAGGCAAAGGCAGAGGTGGGGTAGGGAAGGGATTATGGTCAAATATGTTTGCAAACACTTTATACACTATCTGCCTGAGTCCCATTTTGCATATTAAAGGCCCTGAGAATTCTTGCAATTAAAAAAATATACGTATTCAACCTTGTTTAACAGAGCATGTCCTACACCCATTTGACTCAGAAACATTTTTCCTTTAAACACGCATCTGGTTCTTGTGGGTTCAGCCTTCTACAGACCGTGATTTGAAAGACACTGAGCTAATTCAGCAGCTCACTGGCCAGAGCTGCAGACCGGGCGGCGGAGCCTGGCGGGAACAGGCCTGAAGTCCAGGCAGCGCAGGTTCTGCACGGAGGCCGGAGGCCACCCCCCCTCCCATGCCTGACTTTCCAGGCCCTGCTCCCCTGCGGGGAAATGTGTCCCCGCAAGGAAGAGATGACTTTACTAATTGATACAGCCGTGCTGCCACGTAGCCTAGTGGATAGAGGCTTGTGGTCGGACCCCTCTGTGACCCTTGGGCAAGTCACTGCATTTCTCTGAGCCCTGGACTTCTCACCCTCTTCTGATGTAATGCAGTTTAAGAGGGAGGTGCTCAATACCTGCCAGTCAGCGGTAGCTCTCTCTCTTGAAGGGGAGTTCTAGGGGACACAGGTGATAAAGACTTGGCCCCCACCTGCTTGGAGCTCATAGTCTGTGGGGAAGACAGATGCTCACACGGTGGAAATAACATGAAGCACAGTGATAATAAAATCTCCAGAATCACCAGAATCCATAATAGGGGGGTTCTGAGGAGGGAGAAATCATTTCCAGCTAGAGATGATGATGATGATGGTTTTGGTGTTGCTAATCATTACCGTAATTATGATAGTGCAATAAAAAGAACCAAGGCTAATCAGTGGGTGCCTTCCATGGGCCAGGCCTGGTGGGAGGGACTCTCTCTGCTTTGCCTCCAGTCCTTCTGACACCCTCCTAAGTGGACATCATGGTCCCACGTTACAGGTGTGGGTGGCCCTGCACGGATCCGTAGAGCACATCACCCGTAAGCTGACCCGGGAGTGAAGGGCTGGGTTTTAGACAGTTGACATTCAGGAGGAGAGACTGCGGGGCAGAGGAGGGGAAGTGATGGACGTGCTCAGGGAATGGCATTGGGGGAAACCGGAGGTTCTCCCATGAGGAAAGTGGGAGAGTGGGAGAGGAGGAGGAAGGGTGGGTGGTGGGGATGAGACACTGAAAACTGGGACCGGGTGGGAGAGCCACCCAGAGGCGGAGTGTCAGTTCAGGAATTTCCCTCCCAGCAGGAGAAAATAGGAGGCCGAGATATGGCGGGGCTGCCCGCTGGGACTGTGCTAGGTGGCCTCATTTAACACTCCTGGTATCCTGCGACTAACCGAGGCTCGGAGAGGTAAAGCAGCCATGGACGTAGGTCTGCCCATCCCACTTGGAGAACTTGCTTATAAAGTAATAAACACACAGAGTTTGGGATTTGGATTGATTCTCCTGGGCTAATGGTTTTCTGAAAAAATAAATTTGACCAATTCGTGTTATACACACAGGACCAACCTCCCACAGTGGCCGAATGGAGAGGCAGGGGGCCATGAGCAAGCCCCTGCCCCTTTTTCATCATCAGTCTCTCTAGACTCTCATGGTCCTGCTCCACTTGACCTTCTGTGGTTTCTCCTCCATCCAGTGCCTGGAAGGAGTCAGCAGTATCTTAAAGAGATGGGAGGAAGGAGCTAGATACCCACATGCACTCCTGTCCCCAAGCTTTTCCTCTGGCGCATTGGGGAGACACCCAGCTTGGCTGTGAGTTGGTGGGAAGACCTTAGCCAGCAGCGGAAAGCTTTCAGCCCCAGAGCTCCTTTCCTGTGGGTGGGTACCCCCAAAAGGGATGGAGAGGAGCAAGGCCAGTGGGGCTAGGAGCCAGGATGGCTATTGTGGATTCTTTCTCTTTTGGGAGACAGAGGCTCCTGAAAGCATGAAAAAGAAAAGGCCACATACAGGCAGGGGAATAGCTCCAGCATCCCACATCACTGCCTTGGGCCAGAATGAACACCACCCCCTGAAAAGATCGCCTCTGCAATTACAGCTGAGCAAATGGCCCATTAAACGCCTCCCCTGGCCCTACCCTCCCTGCTCACTGGCCCGCTCTCAGGAGGCTTCCTCAGCCTAGAGCAATGGGGCAGAGAGGTGACTTTCTCTAATCACTTTTGTGTTCTCTGCCAAAGAGAATGCTTGATGGAAACGGACAAACCAATTAGAAAATAATAAATAGCGTGGACAAGGCTGATCCAAGAAGACCCCGGCTTCTCTGTGTTTTCATTTTCTTCCCACACATTGTTTCCCTTTCCGCCCTGCCCCTGGTGCACTTGGAAATGAGGGTGAGGTTGTGGCAAGTGCTGGCCACATCTAGGGTTGCACTTGGCCTTGTCAGTCTGTGATCTCGGAGTCCCCCGTCACTTCATCTGTAAGATGGGGGTAAATAGTAGCAATAGCTCAACATTTATTGAGGTTTTCTACATGCCAGGTATTATTCTAAGCCCTTTGTACTTTCTTCTGTTACTGTCCCAAATCCTCTGAACAACCCTAAGAGGTTGGTCCTATTATTACTTTTGTTTTGTGAATGAAGAAACCAGGGTTCAAGAAGTTCAGTAAATTGCCCAGGGTGACCCCAATACCAAGTAGAAGAGCTGGATTCAAACCCAGGGCTCTGGCTTGAGAACAAACTATCTTACCCACTGTGTGCTTCACCTGTTGCTGAGAGATGGGACAACATGTGTAGCTGGTATACAGCAAGTGCTTAGTAAGTGTCGGTTTTCCTTCTCTGATCACAGAACAGACTGGTTGGCAGTCCTTATGAGGCTCCCAGTCCAAGAAGCTGAAGATGGGATCTTGCAGCAGAAAATAGCACAGCACCAGGACTTTGAGTCAGTATCTGGACTTGTGTGGCTGCCTTCGAAATAAGTCACTTCATCCAAGTTCTGGTGAACGTAGATACAGCCTCTCCTGGCCCTGCCTGTGGCTCCCAATTCCTGTTAACCTGTTATTTGAAAAACCATAAAGATTACGGTCCCATGAGTATTTGGCCTCATGAATTCGTGATGACGTGGGTAGACAGGAGGGCACTCGAGGTCTCGGACATCCCCTAGTGCCATCAGAGTAGAGGTGTAAGGTGGTGACCCACAGCCGTGCTCTGTGAAGCACCCAGCGTATCAATAGGGAAACTGAGGCCTCAGGAAGGAAGTGCTGAATCTGACACTGTGACCTACATATTTTGGCTTTTCTCGTTCCCAGTGTAAATTCAACTCCATCCACACGTACCGAGTGCTGCTCAGGTGTCAAGCCCTGTGCTGAGGGTGCAGTGAACAGAGATGAGTAAGGCATGTTCCCTGCCCTCTGGGGAGCACAGAGTCGCAGATATAGACAGATGCAGTGATTGTTGGGAATGGTGTTAGAGTGCCTCCAATACGAGGTGGATGAGTACAAAGATGGCAAAGAAGGTGGAGGTGACACGGAAATCAGGGAAGTCGTCTTGGAGGAGAGGTCCCAGAATAGACTTTGGATTTGTTCATAAGAGGACAAAGTGGACAGCAGAGTCCCTGACAGAGGGAACAGCATGAGCAAAGGCACTGGGGCTGATGTGTCAGCCTGGGTGCTGCCAGTGCACAGTGGGGCATTAGAGAGAGGAGACACGCAGATGAGGCTCAACGCAGAGACAGGTTCTTGCAGGTCGCGCAGGGGAGCTTGGTCTTTGCTCTTTCACATACGGAGGCGGTACTGTGGCTCAGAGGGAAAGAGAAGGGAGCCGTCGCTATGTGCTCTACGTGCCAGGCCCTGTGCCAACCCCCTATGGAGAGACAACATTATGAGAAAGGAAAACACTATTAACTGACTCTGTGACCTTAGCGAGGCGTGAAAGTTCTTTAAGCCTCTGTTTTCTTCTCTGGGAAATGGGGATAGTAATGCTGCCCACCCTGGTGTAAATAAGCCCATTAAAGGGGATAGTCCGTGTAACGCCGGGCCACGTAGATGGGCCCACCAGAGGGAAAGTTCTTAGGTCCTGAGCACCTAGGACATGCCAGTCCCTTTCCAACGACCATTTCTTTCTCTCCAATATGTGTGTGTGCCATGTATTAAAGAGCTGAGGATTGTGCTGCAGGGAGTTAATTCACTTTCCAGATGTGCCAGACGACCGTGGCAGCTACTCCAATGCAATGTCCCTCTCTAGGCCATGTTACAAAGACACAGACACTTGCAGAATGCAGACTCATGATGCCCCGTTCAGAGGAGTGTGGGTTTCCCAGCTAGACAGGCTTGGCCTTGAATCCCAGTTCTGCCACTTGGGACAACCTGTTGAATAACATTGGGCCGCGTGTCGCTCATCTTGAAAACCACGTAACAGCCCCTCCTCGCAAGGTCGGTATGGAGATGCAAAGAAGGCTTCCCAATAAGGCTCTGTATGGACCAAATAAATGGTCCAAGGTCCACAGGGAATGAGCAAGGGAAGAAAGAAGCCAATACTAGAAAATACGTTGTCTCTTCCATGGTCTGCGCTCTTCATCTGTGCTCCTATTATGTGGCCCTGTCACCAGTCTATATGGCAGAGTCCTTAGGGACACAGAAGTTGACTTTAGATAATCTCGGTCCTGAACAGCGCTCTGCTATTTGTAAACTGAGCGGCTTTATCAAGTCTCTTGAACTCATAAGAATGTCGTTTTCTTATCTGTAAAATGGGGTCATATCACTTACCTTGTAGTATTACTGAGAGGTCGATGAGGCGGTGTTTCTAAAGCGCTTAGCAAGGGGCCTGACGGCCGCTCTCGCGGAATGAGCCGTGGTGCCTGTGATGTGAAGGGTAACTCTTGCGGATGGTGATGACAGCCAAGGTTCTTTTTCTATTACAGAGCGTACTTGGATGTCAATGAGCTGAAGAACATTCTTAGCCTGGACGGAACCACACACCTCAATATCTTCTTTGCAAACTCCTCGGAGGAGGAATTGGCAGGAGTAGCCACTTGGCCATGGGACAAAGAAGCCCTAATGCCCTTAGGTGAGAACGAGAGTCGCTTCAGGAGGGAGTTGGGTTAGTGCAGGGACACATCCACTAGTGATGACGACTGTCACGGTGGCGGTGGCCATATGGGGATGGGCAGCAATCTACTTATTCATCACTTTTTAATGTACAAAACTCTTCAGCATCCCTTATCTCATTTCAACCACCAAGAAATGCCCTGAAGAACACAGTCTTATTAACCCTGTTGCACCAATAGAGAAACTGAGGCTTACAGAGGGAGTGGGGCTTATCCAGGGTCACACCCATGTTGGCGGCAGAGCCATGTTTTGAATTCAGATTTATTAATTCTGTCCATCAGTTGCTTTCATCTTATAGCCCCTGCCTCTTAGTTCATGCAGATATCTTCCCAGCCTGGCAGCCACATTGTGCTGGCACAGCCACATGGGTTGCCTTGCAGCCACCGAAGAGGCAAGAGAAAGCAAGTTTGTGAGAACTCCTTGTTCCTTCATGATCCACCCACGAACAACACCAAGAACTCTTCTTACATGCAAAGTATGCATATCCATAAACAAAACACATGTTTATACACATCAACCACCAGACACCGAAATGACAATGGTTTCTGAATCAGGCCCTGCAAGCAAACATTGAAGTTGTTCAATTTTTATTTTTCCATGCTCTCCTCCAGTTCACGGATATATGCAGATGTGCATTTTTAACTTGTGCATATTTGAAACCATAGCATACGTGCAATTTTGTGTTCTTTTTTTCCACAGACTGTTATGCTATCTGCATTTTTCCATGTTGCAGCGATCTTCATAATTACTTCCCACTCAACATTTTTCCCTTAACATTGCAAGAGAAAACATCTTTCTGGGTTACTTCCATCTCTCTGAATACGAGATTTGTAATGGCCACATAATATTCCTTTGAGCGAGGGCACTACAGTTCATTCAGCAGTTTCCCTTTGGTAGAATGTTCCCATTTTTTACCCTAATGAGTAGTGATGACTCAATGGGCACCTTCATCAGAGAATGTGAGGGCTCAGCAGAGTGACAGTGCTGGATGCTTCCCCCGGCTGCCTGGTCTCCCAGTGGTGCACCCACAGTCCAGTAGCTGCGTCTGCACTGCCTTGGAGCTGAAGGACTCTTTACATGACAGCTTTGTGCTGAATCAAACTCTCCTTAGTTCACTCTAGACGGCCCTCATTTCTCAGTTGTTTTTAAGATGATGAAACGTGTGTGTGTGTGTGTGTGTACATGTGTATGATTGTGAAAATAGAGATAGATACAAAGATAAATATGTAGTGCTCCCAACTGGGGGGTGGATTTTATCTCCTAGGAGACACTTGGCAATGTCGAGATATTTTTGGTTGTTACAAATGGGGGGATGCTACTGGCATCTAGTGGGTAGAGGCCAGTGATGCTGCTGAATCTCCTGTAATATCCACAGGAAAAAATAATTATCTAGTCCAAAATGCCAGTCGTGCTGAGTTTGAGAAACCCGGAGATACATGATGGACGGGCAGACAGACGGACAGACAGAGAGACAGACAGGGATTAGACAAAAGAGAGAGAGCAACTAAGGCCAACTTAAGGATGGTCAGCGTATATCACACACCTCGTACGCTGTACGGGAATCGTGTTGGCCCAGAGCCCAAATCCATGGTTGTTCTCAGCTTGAACAGACTCAGTAGGATGGTCTTAGGCAAGTCTCTTTCCTTTCCCAGATCTCAATCTCTTCAAATTTTACATGAACAGGTTAGACTAGATGGTGGCCTCCAAGGACCCTGCTCAGCCCTGAAATTCTGTGCTATTGGAAAAGCAACCGAAAAGGCCCTCAGCAGAGTCTTAGGAGGGGTGAACAGCAGGCTTCTAAAGTTAGAGAAAAACACTCCTGATAATTCCACAAATTTCAGGGGCTGGCTCAGGACCAGGAATACAGAAGGCTATAAATCCATAGCATGTTATAGTGTTTCAGGATGATGTCAGGCTCCAGCTATTTCACCTTTTAAGAGAAGCCGTGAAACAGGACTCGGGCTCTGTGCTGTTGCCTGTGGAAAGGGGTGCGTTGGGAGGGAATGAGGTACCACAAAGAGAGCCAGCCTGGACCTTAAGTCTGCAGGCCTGTCCTTACCCATGAAGACACCTGTGGGGCCCTTCTCTCCCCCCACCGTCACCTCAGTGTTGAAGCTTCCTGGAGAGATGGAGGATCACTGACGCCGTTGTGGCTGCTGCTCTTAAAACTCACCAGAGAGGCAAAGTCACCTTCCCAAGATCACACAGCCAATGTGAAGCAGATTGCGGCTTGCAGGCCATGTCAGGCTGACTGCAGCTGTCCTTCAGGCTGTGCTGAGATGCTGATCATAAGCAGTTTCTCTGAAGTAGCCCCAATCAAACCCAATTGATTAGAACCATATATATGTACTTTCCTGACCCTCTTCTCCTGCTGTTACGCCACGATCCCTGGAAAAAGTCTTGGGTGGGAAGGGGATTATGTTTCGTGTTATGATTGACAGAAAATAATTGAGAGAGATTTCCTGTCTCACTTTCTCCTCCCTGCCTCCGCCTGCCCCTTCTCACATGCACGCGTGCATTCACACCCCCGCACACCCTCCCATACGTCCCGATCTTTGTGCTGGAAGAAGGCTCTGAGCAGCAGAGAATTAGCAGACTCCCTGAGCCCCTGACAGGGAGCTCCCGCTCCCGGCAGTTCAGGGCGAGATGAAACCCCGCTCACCAGCCCCAGGCCTGCCGGGACGGAGCAGCAAGGCTCTGCCCTCTTCCCATTCTTGTACAAGATTCTGCTCGGCTCTTAAAGTTACTGCTTACAGGAAGCTCAGATCTGAATTTTAAGCTTCCCTTCGACACACTCAGATTTAAAGTTGAAATATCTTTCTGCTAGCCTGTATGTATTTCTCCATTGCCTGAAATGAACAAAGAACGGTGCCACCCATTGGTTCTGCTGAGACCTGTTCCATTTGTGTCCCCAAGCAAAGCGATGCTCAGTCTTCTAAGATGTGCAGTGTGGACCATTGCTTTTCAAACTAGAATGTACAGACCAGTCATCTGGGCTCTTGTTAAAACCTAGATTCTGTAGGTCCTGGTGTGGGGGTGCGGGGGGCTGAGATTCTGCATTTCTAACACCTTCCAGGTGCTGTGCATGCTGTTTGTTTTGGAGCCACACTTTGAATAACAAGTAGTTAGACATGAGTAAGGCACTTATTGTATGTCAGATGTTATACTAGCTGCTTACATGTGATTAGATCTGGCAAAACTCCTTTTGTTGGGTGAGCATTCAGCAAATATTCAACATGCATTTAAGGAGATGCCACATCCCGGTCCCTGAGGTAGGCATTAGCAGTAGAAATCAGGTAAAGAGCCCCAGCTTCGGAACCTAAGGATCATGGTCCAGGTTTCAGCCCCATACCAACTAGCTCTTAATCATGGGCTAGTCACTTCACTTCTCTGTGAATTGGCACCCGTCTCATTGGGCTGTGAGTGATTGTGATTATATGCAAGAAACACTCAGCGCAAGGCCTGAGGAGACATAATGATGCTCGAGAAAATTGGCTTTATGGTCATGGCTACAATGACAAGTGCCCACGGTGCTGGCCTCCATGCGTGTTCACTCTCACAGATGATAGACATGAAGGGATGGGGTTCAGAGGTGGTCATTGGCTCACTCCATGTCACAGAGTTCGTGAAGGCAGACTGAGAACTGAAACCAAGCTGTTTGGCCTTGGGGGCTTCATTTAAGCAGAAGCACATAGAATGCTTATAAACCAGGGCCTGACTTACTTTCCAAGGAAGAGGTTTCAGCCGAAATGTTTACCGGCCTAGAAAGCAGAGTCCTTGAATTCTAACCATGCCAAAGTTGGACATCACTGTGGGTAGGTTGCCTCACTTCTTTAGGCAAGTAGTGTTGTTTTCATCTGAAAAATGAAGGGATTGCATGAAATGACTTGAGACTCCTTCCTGCTGGTTCAGTGATTCATATTATGAGTCATAACAGATCCTGGGGCAGTGGAGTCGTAGGGTAGAAAAGCCTGGGGTTACTTTGGGCAGCACTCCATTGATTAGGGGATTCCTGAGTCAGGAAGCAAAGTGTCCAGCTTGCCTAATGCTCTGGTTTTCCCCTTGCAGGTGGCATTGTCCTGAACCCATCTGTCTATGGCATTCCTGGGCACACCCACACCATGATCCACGAGATCGGGCACAGCCTGGGCCTCTATCATATCTTCCGAGGCATCTCAGAAATCCAGTCTTGCAGTGACCCCTGCATGGAGACCGAGCCCTCCTTTGAGACCGGAGACCTCTGCAGCGACACCAACCCAGCCCCAAAACACAAGTTCTGCGGTGACCCAGGGCCAGGAAACGACACCTGTGGCTTTCATAGCTTCTTCAACACTCCTTACAACAACTTCATGAGCTATGCAGGTAGGGCCCTACTCTCTGCAGGGTGCACGGGGCTGGGTGTCACATGTACGTGGATGATGTCGCATCCAAAAGCTCCTCAGAAAGACACACAGTGGGAAGCCGACCGGGACCCATAGTGAGGAAACCTGAGTAAGAGGCCTGGCTCTGCCACTCGGTCACCTGATACCTTTCAGTCCATCACATCCCCTCTCTTTTCTCAAGAAAACAGACTCTTTAGACTCCATCTCTGAGGTCCCTCCTGGTTGTGCAGCTGTATTTTTCTCAGCTGGTGGTTTTTGAACTTTTTTTGTTTTTTACATAAAACTCTCACACCCTCCTTTACTATTTTATTACCAATAAAATAAAATAAAATGAAATAGAAGGCTTTTAGTTTTGTAAATACATAATGATGACATGAGATCCATACCACCTTTTCCTAGCTGCACATGTCCTGTCAAAGCCATTTTGATGCCATCGGTAACAGTACTAAGGATTCATTCACTGGGTGCTAGGGTGCCCTGTACCTCCTGTTAGCATATATTAAGGCCACATCTAGCCCTTGTAACATCTTCGGCAAATTAGCACAAGACACCCCTTCCTCAGAGCAGTTACAGCCCTCACTGCTGGCGCCTCACGGCAAGAGCCCTTGTGTAAGGTGAGAGCTACAAAATTGCATATGATAGCCAAGCACAAATTCTGTGACGATATTCCATTTAGGCGTCTCTTTTCCCTCTAGAAGAAGTGAGTTCTGGGAAGGTGGAGATTGCCTCTAACCCGTCACTGTATTCCTAGCACTGAGAACAGGGCCTGTGTGCTTAATAGATGTGAGGAAAGGAGGGGAGGGAGTCATGGACAGAAGAAAATGAATAAATTACCTTGTAATAGGTCTATAAAATTGATTCTTATCAATAATAGTATTTCTACTTATATAAAAAGTTATTGTCCATAAAAGACTATAATCTACACCATCTCATTTCATTCTCACCAAAAATCTAACGGGTAGGAGCTGTCCACATGTTACAGATGACAGGACTGGAACTGAAGTTACTGCCCCAGGTCAAACATCTGGCTCCAAGCGCTTTTGTCCCTTCTACAATTGTGCCACTCATCACAAGAGGCCTAGCTGATGGGCCAGTGGGGAATTGAGCAGCCTGGGAGGTTTCACACTCTGCTCCCTGGAGATGCCTCAGGGGGCTGCCCTGGGTGGGGCTCTGGGCCTCTATCTCCACTTGAGCCATGTGTTTTTCGTTTCTACTGGGGTTTGAATTTGGATTGCATGTAGAAAGATGATTTTGTTATTAAAATGCAATGAACTAGATGATCCCCGTGGGTCTTCCTGATCTTCCATTTGGGCTGGTGACCTCTGGGGGCCTCGGGTTCATACAGTCCAAACCTGAGGTCTCTTGAAGAGGCAATAATCCACCCAGGCACCATAAAGAGTCTTTAGGTTTAGTTATGTAAAAAAAAGAAAAAAGAAAAAGAAAGAAAGAACAGAGCTGCTGAGTGTTTCCTCAAAAGCAGATTCCCACTGGGTGCCCATTCCCAGCCCAGCTGGCATCCCACATCCAGTGCCCTGTCCCCTCCCACGGCCCTGCTTACGGTCCATTTCTGTAGCACCTTTCCTTGGCCAGCGCCACGCACATGGAAAATAAACAATAACATGAGTTTGGAAGCCTGCCGGCCTCTTAGGAGCCTAGGAGCTGCCACTAGCTACCAGACCCCCATAAACTAAATCTTTTTTTGTTCCCCTTTGTACAGATCTAAAGGGTGATTGATTTACTGCTGTTTTTTTAAAGGAACCCCTCAGCTCAGTGACCCATTAACAGCAGAACTAATTCACTGAGCTACGATAACAAACTTACACCCACAAAAGCATATTCGAGGCGACCACGAGCTTTGAAATGTTTGTTTTCCTTAGGATCTCTGATAGATGAGGTGACAAAAGCAGCTGGAGGAAATTCAAAATGCAGAGCAGGATCGGGTTCTCAGGGCCCGGAGAGCAGTGCACGGGGGCTGTGCAGTGAAGGCGAGAGGGCAGAGGCCCCTCGGGGTCAACTGCTTGGAGTCCCGTCCTTCCTGGGTGCATCTTTCTCAGGCCTGGCCACTAGCTGGGTAAGGAGTCCAGTGCAGAGCCATCTGCAGAACTTTCTGCAAAGGACATGTTCTGTGCCTGTGCTGCCCTTGTGTGGCTACTGAGCATTTGAAAGATGGATAGTGAGACTGAGGAACTGAGATGTAACCATACATGGCTGGTGGCTACCGTACTCATGGGCACAGGTCTACAATGATGACTGAGGCCAGACACTGTGTGAAACACTCCATTGATTTGTCTCACAGAACCTTCCAAATAACCCAGTGAGGTCAGTGCTATTATTCTTGCACCCATTTTACAGATGCAGAAAGCGTAGTTTAGGGAGCTTCGATAGCTGGCCCAGAGTCACACAGCAAAACCAAGACCAGTTTTTCTTACTGCAGAGTTATTAACCAATAATTATCTGGCTCTCTTTCTGATATGAGACGAGGTTGAGAGGGTCCCAAGGGCTCAGATCAAGCAGGCAACGGGCAGGTGAGGGGGGCGAACCTAGTCGAGCAATAGCAGAATATGGTCACGTTGCCCTGGGCAGCTAGGAGAGCAGCAGCCTGGATTCTGCTTCCTGAAGATAGTAGGCCATGGGGGGCCCACCGAGTGCCGGGGCCACCTCAAGAGTGTGGTAACCTGGCCTTCTCCAGCCTGTGGGAGCAGCTGTCTTGTCACCACCTTCCTCTGTGTTAGGGCCTTTAATGTGTACATGTGCTGCGGCCCAACTGCCCCATAGCTAAGGACCATATCCTAAGGAAATAAATCAGTGAATGTGTTTAAAGATTTAGTCATAAGAATGTTCTTAGCAAGGTTCATTCTTGGAATATTAATTAGGCATTTACTCTGCCAGGCATAGAAGAAATGCTTATACGTGTGAAAGATTAGAAACAGCTTACAAGTCCGAAGGGAATGGATTGCAGAAATAAATCACAAGGCATCCATATGAGACAACATCATGTGGCCACTGACGATGACATAGAAGAGATGGAGGGACACAAACAGTGGGAGCGTGGCCTAGTGGCTCAGAGCATGGGGTCNGGAGGGACACAAACAGTGGGAGCGTGGCCTAGTGGGGCATGGAGACCCAGCCTGAATCCTCCGTGCACTAGCCTCTGACTCAAGACAGTTACTTCTCTCCGAGCCTCAGTTACTTCATCGATACCATGGAAACCAATCGCACTTAACTTGTGTGATAGGTGTCATCATAGAGGTGACAGGCTTAGTATCATAACTAGTACTCAATCAGCAACAGCTAGTGCATCATTTATGAGTCATTTAATGTGAAAACAATTCCACAGTCAGTCACAGAGTCTTATGTATAGAGTAAGGCATGTGTGTGTGTGTGTGTGTGTGTGTGTACACATGCCTGTGTATACATTTGTGATGATGGGAATTTTACATATCCACACCCATATACATATATACGTATTCCTGCATACTAAATATTAATTTTATTATGTCTGGGTAATGTGTTTAGAGTGATATTTATTTCTTTGTAACTTCTTTGCCATAATCCCAGTGTTGTACAGTGAATATCTGTGACTTTCATAGTCACTTATTACTACTCTCATTGTCATTATTGTTAAAACAACAAACAGAGAGGGACTTTGACAAAAGGCAATGCAGTTATCCATGCACTGGACACGGGTCATCTTGCTAAACGCTCTCCTCAGCTTTAGGGGGCAGACAGCCCCGTCACCCCCCTTTCACAGTGGGTGGAGGTGAGGCTGTCGGGCCAGCGTCCTGCCCACAGTTCCGCAGGAAGTGGAGGGGCCGCATCGGGGCCCTGCGCCTCCGTGCTGCATGGCCTCCCAGCCGCAGATGCCAACGTGTTCTTGAGAACAAAGCTCCGCTAGCAAACCAGGGCACGCCATCAGCATCGTGGGGCTGGTGCAGCTCCCAGCAGGCCGGCATCCCCAGATCCCTTTCTGCTAGGCGACAAGGTGGGGACAGAAGGCTGAGATGTGCTGGCTGGTCCTGAGACCAGGGTGAAGTGGCCGCAGATCAGGAGGGGAGGCATGGGTGGTGGGAAGGCAGACATTAGCTGAGTGAGACAGAGCACTCCTGATAAAGGGAAGCTCTTGGGTGCCTCACCCATGATTCTGATAGCACCCCAGTCTCTGAGTTCTGGACCCCGGGGCAGGCTTTGTTTCCTGGCTTCAGCTTTAAATTTCAGATGCATTTCTGTTTCCCGACCAGGCTCTATCACCTACCCATTTTTCAAATTCTCTTTTTATTTACTAACATGGAAATGACTCATTTTTAAGTTATAAAAGATAAATATGCTTCATTGGGGGAAAAAGAAACAAATCAGGGTGTATAGAGGGAAAAAGGCTGTGCTTCTTCCCCATGCATCTTGATAAATGCTTTCGACGCTCCAGCCCACCGAAGGCTCACAACTGTGTGTGGTGGGACTGATTTAAATATCCCCTATTTATACGTCAGGGATCTGAGATGAAAGTTACTTCCTTTATTTGTAAATGATTGGTTAGCATTCTGGTCTATGCCTATTCAAGGTACACAGCCATTTCCTTATTAATAAAGAGATGTGCTGTTTCTAATGTTTTTACTATGGGAAATGGTGCTTCAAAAATCCCTGTATGTGTATTTCCCCATATTTGTTCATGAATATCTATCTGTTACATTCTTAAATGTGCTATTGCTAGATCAAAGAGAATGAATATTTTACATTCTGTTTATTATTTCCTGCTTCCAGTTTTCTAACACTTGCGCGCACGTGCACACACACACACGCACACATGCGCACACACGCGCACACACACACACATGCACACACACACGCACAGGCGTCACTCCCATTGGGTGCCGTGGGCATTTACTGAGCATTTACCATGGTTCTTGGTGCTGCGCCTCCCTGAGCCCTGGGCTGTGTTCTCAGATAAGCACTTAACCGTCGTCATCCCCGCCTTCCAGAGGGGGCGTGAAGCACCGAGGGCTTGAAATCACTTACTCATTTGACTCCAGCTCCATCACGCATCGATCTCGCCATGCAGACACACGTCCTTGGCCACCATGCCCTTCTCCTGTCTCTAGCTTATCCAGTGGCTGTTCCACGGCTTCCAGGATGAATGGCAAAGTTCATAGTAACAAGGAAAGTTGCACTCGATGATCTGGTCCTTACTGAGATGTTTGAACTCCGTTCTCCAGGCAGTGGGGAGCCATAGAATGTCTGGTATCCAGGAGGTATTGGGGCTTGAGGCAGATTTACTTTACGCTAGTCATTCTTTTACGGAGCTTGCTAAGGGACATCAGGCTCCTCTGCTGCCTTCAGATTAGGAAAGACTTCCCCCAGGGTGCTGGAAAGGAGACTGTTAAAAATTACTAAGGGGCTCAGAGGCAGCTTCTGTGTATGACCTCCTCGCACCCCTGTCCTCTCCCCAAGCTGGATTCTCAAGGTCACGTCCAACTGCCCAGCACCTGCCCAAACTTATTTTCAGTTTGTTTGATAAGAGAAGTGAGTTTATGCTGCAGGATTCCCAGTGGTGGGTTTATTTTAAGATCTGGCCAGCCCTGTGCTCCTCCGTCTGGGGCCCAGCTGCGGAAATCCTGACCAGGCGGACACCTCTGGGAAGTGGTGCTTTTGGAAACCAAGCCAAAGCAGTGCCTTGCCCTGCCCCTGGGGCAGCTGAATAAAGCTGTTGGAGGAAGAGACAGGAGGCAAGCTTCTTTCTTGGGGGTGAGTTTTGGGTCACCGCCTTCAGTCCACATCTCAGGAAAGAGAGATTGGGATTGAAGGTCATTACATCTAAAGACATTTAGGGGATTGTATTCCAGGCCCCTCAGACTCAGGTTTAACTCCTGTTTATCAAGCACCTGCAGGACCCACACAAAGTCTAGTTTATTCTCAGAAGTTCTCGTATTGATTAGAAAGAAGCCTGGCCTTGGAGGCAAGATTGCCTGGGTTCGAATCTCAGATTTGCCTCTAGCTTTGTGATCTCAAAAAACGTTGCTTGATCTCTCTCAGCCTCAATTTCCTCTTCTGTAAAATGGAGGAAATCATAGTATTTATTACAAAAATAGTGGGGGAGAGTTCATTGTGTCCAAAGCACACTGTGCCATGCCTGGTTCATACTGAGCACATGATAAGAGGTCCCACTGTCCGTGCTGCTCAGGAGTTGTCACTGTCCTCATGTTCCCAGCATGCGCCTTGTGCCTCTGTGGTCTTGCAGCTCCGCCTCCTGCAGTCCCTCAGATTTCTTTCCCAGTCTTCGCCATGCAATCTGGGTGACCTCAGGTACCTCCTCCTTTAGAAGCCTCATCGGTTCACCTCCTTCCCCAACATGCTGCCTCTGGTTCATCAGTGGTCGGCGTCACAGACTTTAGCAGCCTCATAACAGCCTTGACTCATACAGCAACCTGACCTTGACTTTGTACCTAGATTGGCGGCTCCTCAAGGGCAGGCGTGTTTGAAGTGTCACCTTTCTGTGGCCCTTGGCACAGAGCAGGGAATATGTCACAGGTGCTCAGAAGGTTAGTGTGAAGGACAGTCGCACCGCATCAGTGAGGAGCAGAGTTAATGAGGGAGCGGGTGAGGGAGTGGGAAGGAAAGAAGGAAGGGACCGAGCGAGCTACCGGATGAGCGGGAGAGAGACGGAGTGGTGCGGGAAGGACAGACAAGGGGATGAGTGACTTACTGACCGGTGGACTTGGGGCTCATGGAAGGCAGCTTGTCCTTAGTCACGACCTCTGGGCTGTTCCCTCTCGGCCTCAGATGTACTCTTCCAGTTCCATCCGCCCTCCCCTTCCTCCTGTTCCCCCTCACCTGTCTCCAGAAGTGATGACGACACTAATTTGTTCACAGGCCATTAACTCTTGAGTGCTGCAAGAGGCCAGCTCTGAGCTGGCGGGGGCTGGGGTGCGGGCTCCTGGGCCTCCGGGGGACGTCATGCTTCCCGTGCATGTCCCCCGTGCGGCCAAGTCCTTATCTGTCCCTCCGCCCCCTACAGACGACGACTGCACCGACTCCTTCACGCCCAATCAAGTCGCCAGAATGCACTGCTACCTGGACCTGGTGTACCAGAGCTGGCAGCCCTCCAGGAAGCCGGCGCCCGTCGCCCTGGCCCCCCAGATCGTGGGCCACACGGCTGACTCCGTGACGCTGGAGTGGTTCCCACCCATCGATGGCCACTTCTTTGAAAGGTGAGTGTGGCCTGTGAAGTGTTGACCCCCCCCCCGCCTCTCCTGCCAAGAGGAGGGAAACTTGCCGGGAAAGAGAGTTTGCTGTTTTCTGTCTTCGCCTTTGTTCAGCGGGCGCCCCGAGCACCCAACACAGTGACTGGTCCATAGGGGCACATCATAAATTTGAGGGTGAAGGAACAAGGGAATGATGGCTAATGAAATTAATAAGTAACAGTGCATTCTAGGTGAATAAAATGAATGTTTAGCTTTATTTTATTATGAAAAACCTGGAAACCTTTGTTAGAACCTCCTCTGGGATGGATGGAGGTGCTGGTCTTGTCTCCAAGAGCTCAGGACTTGCAATTGGCAAACACCTCTGTAGACATACTATATGTGAAGGTGTGTATATGTTTATGCATATATTCATTATACGTGAAAAGTGCATATATGTCATATAGATAGACGTGTGCATATATCTATTTATCTATATATAATCTTAGACTGTGCTCAGTGTTTCTGTGTAGGATGAAAGGTAGAATTTTTACAGGACCAAGACTTATACACTGAGACACAATACCTGGTTCTGCTCCCCTGTCTGTCATTTACTAGCTGTGTGGCCTTGGGCAAGTCACTTTCCCTTCCTGAGCCTTACTCTTTTCTGCTGAAAGTGGGTCTCATGTCAGTGCCTGAGGTGGAGACCGTCCCCCGTGGTGCCTTCAGCATTGAGACCCACTGAGGAGCTCTAGATTAAGAGACCCAGATTTTAAAGTGTCATGAAACTGAACTAAGATGTTGACATCTATTTTGGAACTTAGCTATAATATAGGACAGATTAGTATATCACAGCACCCCCACCCCCTGCTCCTCTTGGGCATGTTTACCCACTAATAGTGATATAACATTGATGATGCTGAAAATCATAACCAGCTAATCATGAATTAATATTGCTCTGTGGTTGTGGTTACCTATCAAGTGCTTACTCTTTGCCAGATTCTGTACTAAATGCTCTGTATACGGTCTCATTGTATCTTCTTAGTAACTCTACAAAAAAGGGGTCACCTTCCCCATGGGCCAGACGAAGAGGGAACTAGACCTCCAAAAGGCTGAGAGATTTGACCAGGAGCCCATAGAAGCTGGTGGGAGCTGGGCTGCAGCTCATGTTTGCAGTGCCTGGCCTCAGACTCCCATGTGTGTTCATTAAGTCCTTACAAAACCCGAATTATGAAGGAAGCGTGTGTGTGCATTGTGTATGTGTATATAAAAAATATATCGGATCATGGCACCACATTAAACTTGGGCTCTAATTTTCCATCCTGCCATCAGTCCTTGAATCTAGAACCTTCATTGGTAGCTGGGGGATGTGACCACAGGGAAGGAAATGCACTCCCTAAGCCCTTTGTGGAAACCCCCTCCCCCTGCCCCGGCTGCTTTCGCTGGGAGCTCAGAGCCTGGTTTGGGAAACCTCATGTGACACTTCAGAGCAGACTTTCCAGCAGCCCAGAGATTTATTTATTTTCTCTGTGGCAATGAGAAGTATCAGACTCTTGGTCAAGCCTTGGCCTCACTTCCACTTAAAAATGGAAGTTTTGTAAGTGAAGCTTCCTGTGTATGTATTCAATTTGTATTTCATAAAGCAGTTATTGTCCATTAAATAAATACCATCTGATTGTTGGAAACCTATTGGAGGGTTAATTGTTGTGTAATGAGATATGTCTCTATTCCGCAGTGCCCTCAGCTTCAATCAATATGTTTTTAATAACCGATAGTCAGTGGGTACTTGAGGCTCATACAATAGCTATTCTGTTCAGTCTAAGATTTCATAACGGAGTTATCATATGTTAAATTAGAGCTGACGTTTTAGAAACATGTCTAATTAGGGTTAACAGCTATGTAGATCATAGTCTATGGCTAAAGGAAGTCGGTCCACAAGTTCAATAAATTGTTGTAAAGAAACGGAACTGTGTATATCACTCTACCTTACACACAGCATTTATACTCCGGCAAATTGGCTTAGTTTGAAGTACACAAGCTTTGATGTCGGGTTGTGTGTTCATTCTGAACTTCACCACCCCAGTCTACAGGACCTTGGGCAAGTGATCTCACCTCTTGGGTTCTCACTGACCCCCTGATCTTCCGTAAAAAGGTGCTAATCATGCCCACTTCACCTGGCTTTTTTGGGGAATTCAACAAGATGACCCCTGAGATATGCCTGGCACACACACTCTGTTTTCCAAAAATATTAGCTCCAATATTGTACAAAGTTTTCCAGAGCTGTTTAGCTACTTGGAATTGTTCTTCCCCTGCAAAATCTCTGGTGTTTCCCACTCCATCCATCAATGCCAACCTGTTGCCCCTGGCCATCCTCATGTCCTCCTGCTGTTCCTCACATCTGTGGCCTCAGAGAATACAAGGGCTTTCCTTAAAAAAACAGATTCAGATCCTCCCACAGCCTGTGTCCTCACACATGGGCAACTGAATAAATAATTCAAGGCCACCCCCCGGCTTTTCTAACCCCTTTAGTTCTGTCTGTCTTGCAAACATGTGTTGACTGGCTGGTTTCAGTTATCTGAACAATTGGCAGTGGTGTTTTGAAAACAGCATTGGACTGGGAACCAAGAGACCTGGGTCTGAAGCCTTTGCGACCTTATCTGTGCCCCCTTCCTCAGCCCAGGTTCCGATCCATAAGCCAGAGGGTTCTTTCTCAACCAGGTTCTACTCCCAAATCCCAGGATACATAAAATGACTTGGAATAACTATTTTCTCAGTACTCTCAAGGATGCTACATAACTAGTACCAATCAAGATGCAGAAGAGAGAAATTGATTCATTATATGCAGTGGAAGCCTTAGCGAATCACTATCCAGTAGGACTTTTTGCAAAAGTGGAAATATTCTCTATCTGCCCTGTCAATACGGTAGCCATCAGCCAACTGTGACTAACTTGAAATGTGACAAATGTGACGGAGGAACTGGGCTTCTAAATTTATTAAATTTTAATTTAGTTTAAATTTAAGTAGTCACATGTGGCTGGTGGTTGCCATATTGGGCAGCATAGACTTGGAGCTTAAGCGCTGACTCTTACAATACCCAGATACGAAAGAGGATCCCTTTCAGCATTAGTATCCTGTATTTCTAAGTTTTCAGTGTGTGTGTGTATCTGTGTAGATACAGGTGCCTATAAAAATCAAATAAGTGCCAAAGGTAAGAAACACATACAGTCCCTGGATGGATAGGACATTGCCTGATTTTGATAAAGGCCACATAGACTCTGTGACATTCCAAGCTATAACCTTGGGATGATGACTTTGTACTCAAGAACCCTGGTTTACTAATCTGTAAAATGGAAACATCACATCTAATTTACTGACCCTTGGATGGTCAATGTCTGGTAGTTGTACAGCGCTAGCCACCAGAGGCAGTTCAATGACTATCCTTTGAATGTATCACTGAAACAATGAATGAACATGTGAATCAGTGATCAATATGAGAGAATATGCTTTGTGGAGCCTTGTGAACACAAGGCACATTGCTGTCGGGTGTATGATGGTTTATATTCACTCATCAAAGTATTTATTGAAAGCCTAGGATGTGTCAAGCACTCAATGAAGTGTGCAGGTGACTATATGAATATAATGCAGAAAAAAACACCCAACATTTAAAGAAATAGAAAGAACGACTCAATGGCCATTAAGGTCAGTGTGGTTTCTGATATCATCCCGGGACATTTGTAATCTTGTTGTCATCATAAAGCCATTCATGTGGCTCAGAACTGCTATGCATGGGTTGTGGTCACTGTAACGGAACTCTGCCCTCCACAGTGGTGCTAAGTGAGTCCGTTTCTTCATTCCTCACTCTTTGCCTTTAAGTTTATTTGTATAATTGTTATTATTGCTAGTTCGGAAGTAACTCATACATATTCAAAATATATAGAAAATTCAGAAAACCAGAAGGAATGAAAATAGAGTGGGTAGGGGATCATCCTGTGTTCCACCACCAGGAAATTACTTCCAATAATATTTTATCACATTAAGGTTATTTGAACAGCATTGAAATGCTGGCTATAGATTCCGTTTTCAGTATGACTTCAGTTGACTGTAGATTCAATTTTGAATATGCTGTTTTCACTTAACATTATAGCTTACATTTTCCATGAAATTTCATAATATTTATAAATATTTTTGGAATAACTGCTTACCATTCCATTGAGCAGATTAACTTTAGGTTATTTAATCACTTTCCCATCTCTGAATATTAGTGTGCTTTTAAACTTTCTATCTATATATGTTTTTATATTTACAAGTATGAAGCTGAAGATGTAAAATCTGAAATTGAGGATCTAGACTAAGTTAGTCATGAATCTTAACAATATGTCTGAGTGGCTAGTACTTATCTACCCATATATCCATCCATCCATCCATCCATCCACCCATCCATTCATCCAACTACACATGTTGACCATAAAAGCAGATAAGCAGGGGTTTGCTCAGATTTAGATATGGGGGTGAGCTGCCTGGCAGCCATGTGAAGGAGGAATGGGGAGCACCAGCAGACTGTGACGTTCATAGCACTCTCTTCCTTACCATGTGAGCCCCTGGGCTACAGAGCTTCCCTGTGAAGGGAAAGCCCTAAGGCTCCCCCATTGTGTCTTTGCAGGAAGCCAAAGGAGAGACCTTCTTCTAGGAATGATGAAAGAGCTATTGGCAGGATCATTGCATTTTGAGAAATAATGGGTTGGGCTGGCACATTTCTTGGCATCTTTCTTCCCTTTCCAGTTTCTTTGCAGTGGTTGCTCAGATTTGTGGAGTTTCGGTCCCCTTTGGTATATGAGGGCTCATCCCTCTCCCCTCCCGGCAACTGCCTCCTAAACATATGCCAAGTCTGGAGAACCAGTAGGATCCCAGAGACTGTTGTGGCTAAAGGGAGTTTGGATCCAGATACAAAAGACAGTAGACAGTAGGGGAAGCCACCATAATATTCCACTTCTTGGGCCCGTCCCTTTGAGGGATTGGCTCGCCCCTTGGAAAGCTGCTAAAAGGAATAAGTTGGCATGGTGAGGAAACTGCTCTTGACTGTTAAACCGAGGAGTGACTCATCTATCCCAGAATGCTGGGGTTGGGAGGTTCTCCAGTTATCTTCTAGTTCAGCCCACTCGTCTTCAGATGGAGGAACTAAACCATCCTTCTTCCTGTTTAATACCCGAGACACAGGATGGTGCCTGGCACCTGGTAGGTACCTGATAAGGACTAGTAAAAGAATAAAATTTGAGGTCAAATGGGGCAACCAGTTTTCTCACAACCACACATCAGATTCTCAGTGGAGGTTTGAGTGGCTGATGAAATGAAGATTCTGCAGGTAGCGAGTGTGATTTTGGCCTGTTGATTCTGTGTTGCTTGAAGTTAAAGAAGTGTATCCACCATCAGAATGGGAGCCACTCCAGCCCCAACAAGGTCCTTGCTGGGCAATGGGGAGGAGTCTCAGATGCAGTCATATTCTGGGAGCTTTGGCATCAAAGGGAGGGAAGGGGGTAACGTAGAATAATAGTTGTGTCCTCTGCCCTGTTGCCTTTGGCCTGGTGGAGTCAGGGGCTCGTTCAACTGTTCCTAAGTCGGTGCATTTTCCTTCTTTCCTTGGCCTCCTAGAGAATTGGGATCAGCATGTGACCTTTGCCTGGAAGGGAGAATCCTGGTGCAGTACGCCTTCAACGCCTCCTCCCCGATGCCCTGTGGCCCATCAGGACACTGGAGTCCCCGGGAAGCAGAAGGTAAGCCAGCCTGAGAGCCCATTGACAGGTTGGGTGGGGGAAGAACAGTTCTTTTGATACATCTGGAGTGTTAGGATTTCAGTGGTCTTTTCCACACACCATGTCATTCAGTCTTAAGATTGCCCCGCACTGCCAGTCTTTTTAAATTTTTAATTTTGGTCCTTTAGTCCAGCTTTATTGAGATATCATTGACATATGACATTGTGTGAGTTTAAGGTGCACACTGCTATGATTGGACACATACATATTACAAGTGATCATCACAGTAAGGTTGCGTAAGACATGCATCACCTCACATAATTACATTTTTGTGTGAGGTCATTGAAGAGCTACTCTTAGCAACAGTACAGCATTGCTAACTAGAGTCACCGTGCTGCTGATTGGAACCTCAGAACCTTTTCACCTTGTAACCGGAAGTCCGTACCCTTTGCCCAACATGAAGGCCAGGGTTCATGCCTTCATTCAGCACATGGTCTTTTGAGTATGTGCGCCGCCCCAGGTATATCATCTCACTCTACGGATGTAAGGCACTGAGACAGTCAGTCAGCACCAAGGCCACACACCTGACAGACACACCGCACGTGTGTGTTTATATACCTCCAGACCCCCACAGGCTGTAGGTACAAACAAGGTCACCTTAGAATCAGTGCACACATTTGGGGGCTTCAAGACATCAGTAGTCTTTGATTCCTTTTTAGTTATTTCTGGGATACCCAGGGCATTATCCTATATGTCATGACTCTTCCTTTCAGTTCCTGCCATGTGCCCTTCTTTTGGGATCGGTTTATCTGAAAGACCCTTGCAGGAAGCACCTCATGACTGCCCCTGTTATGGGCTCCACCTGGGACCAGACCCTTCCCTGTTCACGGGGGTCTCCCAAGCTTCCCAGGGCGCCAGCGATCTCTGTTCTCTTATAGTCTTGTCCCCTGCCAGATACACTTGGTTTTCTGTAGAAATTAGGAGGGCGCCTTTTGCCCAGTGTTTCTTTACACTGTGTCCCTGCAGCAGGGCTGCTTGGAACTTGGAGACCCTCGTGGTCTGTTGCTTCTGCAGTTTCCTTCTGCAGTATCTCTTGCTTTAGTGCTCAGATCTAGTTCCTGAAGCCAGCCTGAGGGAGGGAGACCCCATATTTTCTTCTTGGGCTTCTGCCTCAGCCTCCCTCATAGACTTTGATTTAGAACACCCCTCCCCTCCCCCACTCCTGTGGCTCCTGTGCAGGTCAGCTCAGGCCAATAGTCCCTGGGCGGGGACAGGAGTCCATCAGAGGGAGCGGAGTCTGATCCCTCATGGAGGTCCAGTGAGAACTCCTCTGTTTCCCTCTGTATTTTTAGAGAGACAGTTAAAAAGAAAAAGCCAGAGACAGAATAAAGCAGGGCCGAGGGATCAGAGAGGCAAGTGAGGGAGACAAATGACAACAGTCTACTTAATCTTCTAAAGTAGCTTAAAATAAAAATGAGAGTGGACCTCGGGAACTCTAAACAAGCCCATCTGGAATGTAAAGCGAGAGGGCTGCCTGGAGAAACCCTCGGCTCAGCCTCGCGGAGTCACAGGCCCTCGGACGTGGAAGGGATGCTGGGGGTCACACAGCTTGGGTTCTCACCGGGTCAGGAAGCCCCCTGCGCCCTCCCTCGCGGAGGCTTTCCTAGCACCAGCTTGTATATTTCTGGGCCTTCCTGTTCCAGCTCCACTTGTTAGAAAGTCCTTCTAACAAAGTCTGCAGTCAGGACTTTCCCACACAAACCCACCCCAGAAGAAAGTGTGTATCGCTAAGGGACGGCACTTTCTGTGTTCGCAGGGAGTAAACCAGTCTCATCTATGACCCCCGCAGGAACTGTGTGCCAGGCACTGTGCTGAGCACGTGGGCAAAGCTGAGCTGACCGTAGTCAGAGAAGCAAATGGCTGATCACCATGCGGTGTGATGAGGCCTGTGCTGATAGCAGTAGGGGGCACTGGGGGCGCAGCAGAAAGGGGGCCTCACCCAGAACTGGAGACTCGAGCTTCCTGGGAAATGTGTCCACACCGGTGAGCAAGGTGCATTTGAGAATGTGAAGGACATTGGGTGGGCTTAGCATGATCTCAAGGCTTATGTTTCTAGGGTTCCTCAAAGTCCGAAATTATTTTCACAGCAATACCATGACACGGTTTACCGTCTCCACTACCACTCTCTCCTGAGAGCATGGTAGAGCTTGGCAGCAGCTCCCTGGAATGTGAAGCCGTTACTATGAAAAAACTCGTGCTTATGTGCTCTCGTATTTTCAAGTTCCTCCGTTTTAATTAATGATACAGTAACTACTCATAGATATGACCCCCCCCAAACAAAAGTCTGTCAATAATATTGGAAGAGCTTCAATGGATTTGGAGCATAAAGAACAAGGTGTGGAGTGGGGAGAAATTGGACTGGGTGAGATATATACCGCCCAGAAGGGGAATGGTTCGGATTTACACCAAGGGCGGTAAGGAGACAGCACGTGCCTAGGCGGCCTGGAAGAGGTCGGTGGCAGTGAGAAGGGAGAGAAGTCAATGAAACGGAGATATTTGGGAGGTAGGATCAGCAAGACTCTCCCCTGAGGCTTCTCTGGCGAAAATCCTTTTGGTTTGTTCTGCCACTTATGTGAATGAAGTAATTCCCAGACATCCCCCCCACACCCCCATCCAACACAGCCGTCCATTGGTTACGTCTGCTCCTGGTTTGTCCCTGACCCTCTGAAAGCATGATACGCAGCAGTGAGTTCCGCGGCCACACCAAGCCCCGGTTCCCTGAGCTCACACAGGCCTCCGAGGATCCCCAGCAGCCCAGGGTTTTCCTTCAGGATATGTAAATTTAGTAGGTGCACGCCAGGAAGAGACACTGCTCTTTTTTTAGAGCATCCTATTACAGGCCCTGTGATCCCTTTGGCTCAGACTCTTTTTAATATCCTTGAAGAAATAAACTTTTCCATGAGCCAAACTCTGTAATTTATTTCTCAACTCATTTTCTTCCTATTTATCTTTGCGTGTTTAAGTTTTCGGACTTCCCAAACTAACATAAAGCTCCCAAATCCATGAGCAAAGCCAGCCGTATCTTTGGGGCTGGGGAAAGAGCATGGGGGTGAGGGTGGGGAGGTAAAGAGGACTGACCCTGGTTCTAGCCTGTCCATCAAGGTGCTGTGTGCCCTTGAGTGGGTCACTTAGCTTTTCTGAATAGAGCAGCCTACCCACAGAGTGAATGCCCTGTCCAGCTCTAATATTCCAGGCAGTTGTAATTCATTTACTTTAAATTTTTAGTAACAACATAGAAGATTCTATATTTAACATATTTACTGAATATCTGCCATGTTTTATTAACTCCATTCCATGAACTTCAGGTACACACAGTTACAGGAATTCTTGCTCTGTCTACAGAAAGTGGTTGTAATCAAAAGAAAACTCGTTTTTCTATCTCTTCAGCAAAAACTATATTTCATAGATGAAATTCCTTCTGAGGTATTCAACACTGCACTACATTTGTAGCCCAGGAATTAAATAGCTAGATCTGGCGGACTCCAGTCCCAATTAAGGTGACTTACGCAAGCATATAATGCATTACAAGCGCTGGGTTTTCCATGAGAGATTAACACGTGGCACTGTTTCCTTTTTTTCTTATTTGCATGAGCCTCTCCCCCGTTTTCTGCCTAGAATATTTCAGGTGCACTGAAGTTTTCATCTGGAAAAAACTTGGCTCCAAGTTTTTATAACTGTATTTGTGTCAACAGCTGCAGTGTATATGCACATAAATATAGAATAGATGTCTGTATAGATCTTCATAAATGTAAATTTAAATCAGCATAAGTATGTATAAATATATTTTACACACACACTTGGCCTCGTTTCTAGTGGGCAGCTTATATAAACATGTGAGCTTTCCTTTAGTCACCGTACATGTAAAAGGATGTGTATTAATAATGAAGTAACAGTACCTTTGCGTTTTTCCCTCCCCCTCCCTTCTT